CTTGCCAATGGACCTGCCTGTGTGCAACTGAGTTCATGTGTGAGACTCTGTGTCCATGACTCTGTGTGTGTGCATGATTGTATACGCTTGTAGTTGTGTGTGTATGTGCTATGAATCTGACTCACAGTCTCGTTTTAGTGTATGTAGACCAAGTTATCAGCCTCCTGGCATGAGGTTGGGACTCTTGATTCATGTCTGTGATTATAAACACTGGCATCACAGATGAGCATCAGGAGTGATATGGTTGTCTCTGCTGCTGGACAAGTAGATGCCCACCTTATAAGGAACCAAGGTCAGCTCCGAGAGAGCTCAGGCCTCTGCTCAGCAGTGTGTTGTGCACATGTGAGCTGTGCCTGGGGTGACGCTCTCGTGTGAGAGCTGGAAGTTATGTTATTGGATTTTCTCTGTGTGTATGTGACCATGTGTGTGTGACCATATGCATGGGTATTGGTGTTGGTTTAATGACTGTGCCTATGACTGAATAGGCCTAATTGCGCCATGTTGACTGCCCTCCCCCAGCAAGGGGAAGGTCAGATGGAGGGAAGCTCATTAATACACTCTCATTAATAGGAGAGTGTATACTGTTTGTTGTAGTGAGTGTGGCTAGGTGTGCGTATGTGTTGTGTTGTGTTGTGTGTTTCTTGTAAGATTTTTGAATTTGTGGTCTTGTGTGATTTTCCTGAGTGTGTGTAGTGTTTGAGTGATGTATATGTGGTGAGTTGAGTGTTCACCAGGTGCATCATGAGGCAGGTGGTTTGATATGCATTGTGAGTGTGTTTTGTGGTGAGAGGTCTGTTATTGTATGTTGTGTATGTTTAACTTTGAGTTATTTATGACTTGTATGTATGCATATGAGTGTTTATGAGATGAACCACATATTGGCTATTCTTCCTTTATGATGGATATTTGGTAAGTGGTGACTTACATTCCCAAATCAGCAGTGTGTGTGTGTGTGAGTGATCTGTACCCATGACTCAAGTATTTCCTAAAGTGTCCTTCTTCTGGGGCACCATTACTAAGATACTCAAATTCTAAGCAACACCCTGTTTCTTGAAATAGATCTGCTATCATTTTTATGTACCTGAGTGTGATTGAGTTGCTCAGAAGTTTCCAACCTTTTCTTTATTCTTACTAAACATCCCAGCAAAACAAACAAACAAACAAACAAACAAACAAACCATAAACTTCAGGCATCATGATGTGTGAAGGTATTGGGCAGAATTACCATTAAATAGTGATGAGATCTTGGAGAAGTTATATAAACCACTGGTCTCACTTTCACGTCTATAAAATGGAGAATGACACTAGTTTTGTGAATCTTGCAGACACTCTCAGTAAATAGTCATTGCATAAATAGACCTTACTGTATTTGAGAATTCTTTGTCATTTGAATAGCACATAAATATAAAGGAGTAAAATTACCTAGTAATGGGAAAAAAATTTTGAACAACTCTGGGTCCTCACAGCTCTAAAATAATATATTGTGCTTGGCTCCTAAGCAAGAAAAGGGAACTTTCCCTGTGTAACAGTTAAGAGCATGGGTTCTGATCACACAGACATATTAGACTGAACCCCATGAAGTAGATAACACTTGGTGGTTTTTAATTTATAGAAAATGGCAATACATATATATCAAGTTATAAACATTACATATCACATATGTAATAGATACTGATATACACACGTGTATTTGTGTGCCATTCTGTCTCTGCTGTACTGCTGTGTGCCTACAGAATTTGTGTCATTTATGTTTCTATTTCTTAAAAACTAAAATAGGTCAAAGAATACAAATTCTTAGAGCAGCTGTGAAGAGGTTTTAAAATCTGGGAATATAAGGCTGATGTGTGAATTTAATTGGGAAATGTAGGTAAAGGCCTTAGCCTGGTACCCAAATGTTCATCTAAGTGTTCAGCATTATTATGAAAGATACTTTGTGGACTCTTCTGTTTTTGGAGATATTCTGGCTTCAGTGGGTTTCAATGCCCCCCATTCCCAGAGTGTCCCTGAGTTTACAGCTGAGGGTCAATGGGAGCCGGCAGGCTCACAGGAGGTCTGACAATGCTCCAACAACGCCCGCTCAGCACTGGAGTCTCACGTGACTTT